AAAAAATATAATTGGTTTAAACGGTTCTTGAATTTGAACCATTTCGTGAGTATTTTGTAGAATATAAGTAGAAGATGAATAAGTAATCGTATGTTCAACACTAAATCTACTTTTATTTATAAACGAAATATATTTTCTTCAAAATTAAAAAATAAATGTTAAATCTCATCTGATTTTAAGCTATTAGGTTTACTGTAAATTATTCTATTTTTCACATTTTATCATGATAAATTAAGACAACAACCTAAACTCATTAGTTTTTATAACCAAACAATTTTGAAGAATATCTATTAGAATACACATAATGAGAGAAATAAAGAGCATTTACTATGCTTTTATCATGTCAAAAATCTTCAATTTCTGTATAATAATTTCCTTTTACTTGTCTGCAAATTTCATTTTATTGTTATAGCTTCGAGATTTTCTTCGCTCATTGGTTGAAGAAGACGCTGAAAGTACTCAAGATATCATCAGTAAGTAGCATGATCACGAAAATTCAGCTGTATATAGTCTATGGTTATCAGAACATGGATTAAGTATCATATTTTCTTTATGCATATCAAAATCACGAGATTTTTCTTCCTAAAATGTCACATTCAGAATTTTATAGCATTGAATCAAAATCAGAGCAGAAATTCATTGATTTGTCCTTCACTCGTTTTATTGCTTATTTAATTTCTTTAGAACGCTTTACTTATTGCAGTGCACAAGATATTTTGCATGGAGCACTTTGTCGTTAACACCAACATTCTACTAATAACTTTTGAATATGAATCTACTAATCTTAAAACAAAATATATAACGCTTATTTCCCTGTTATATGTAGTTTTTTGTTATATTTTCATCCGTCTCTTACTAGTAATAATTTTATGTTGGCTCTTCTACTCTTATTATATTTTGATTGATATCTTTATGGTTTTTATCAGAAATTTAAAAAACAAAATAAGAATAACAACACGAAAGTAAATAACATATGCATTCAAAGAGCATATTAAATTTTATAATAGTAACTTAATTAATCACTTGTGTGTGTGTGTGTGTGTGTGTCATAAACCTACACTCTGAGAAACAATAACCTTTTACAGATCATCAGTTAAGGCGGTCCCCTCAGGAAAAAAGTTTTTTCTTTCACATTCGATTTTGATGGCTGTTACAGTTATTAATACTTACTATCCAACTAGCTTATGCTAAAATTTGAACTCGAAAGCTTGGAGCGTTGCCGAGTTATAGGTGAGTTAAGGGGCAAAAGGGAGCTCTTAGCAAAAACGCTAAGGCTCTTTTGTTAGAAAAGCAGAAAGCTGCGGGTGGTCTCAAATGAAAGTAGACACCTAAATCTAGAGTTTGATCCGTAGTGGTTTTTGGATCATTAGCGATTGGACTGTTCATTTCCAACATGTATTTTAAGTCAGAACTCTGAAAATAACCCTAAACTCGGAGGACATCGTGGCCACGTGACTCTGCTACCGTAGTGAAATTCTGTGACGAAATTTTGACTTTTTATTCTTTTTCTAGTTTTTTAATGAAAAAATTGTCAGAGCTGTGTAACATATACAACGGTTGAGCAAACTTTTCTGAATCAAATGAAATGTGTCCGGGTTCTGTGTGACCTTTTCTTTAGAAAATACAAAGCAAATACGAAATACCCTTCTCTAACTTTATTAAAAAAGAGTAGCGTTAGTATTTTCTTTGTATTTTCTAAAGAAAAGGTCACACAGAACCCGGACACATTTCATTTGATTCAGAAAAGTTTGCTCGATCGTTGTATATGTTGCACAGCTCTGACAGTTACTTCATTAAGAAACTAGGAAACGAATAAAGCGTCAAAATTTCATCACCGAACTTCACTACGGTAGCAGAGTTACGCGGCCACGCCGAGAAGTATTTTCCACTTTTTCCTGCACAGAAAACGAAATTCAAAAATCGTTACGGATCAAATTTTAGATAAATGTCTTAGCTTTAAAATAAAAAAAAATGAAGATTTTATGATGAATCGTCTAGGAGGAGTAGCAATTTTGGTGTGCTAAAACCATATTCTAAGCAATGACGTTCATCACTTCATTAATTATAACTCAGCGTCTTTACCAAAAGTAGTATAACTCTGCAAGGCGAAGTAGTACAGACCTGCGGGGAGATCTCATTTAGATCAGAACACTCTGGTCAACATAGCTTCATGTCTGTTAAGACAGACAACCTTAAAAATTTTAATTGAAATGTCAAATGTAGAAACAAGTGATTTTTAGGGCTTTCAGAAATCTTTTTCAAAAATATTGAAGTGCTGCCAAATTGAGACGGATTCTGAAAGATAACAGTTTGAGATACTCAGCCATATACTTACTTCAGTTTCGAATATTTTGAAGAAAAATCGAGGAAAATTCCTAAGGAGAAGGGGGAGGTCTCCTTATCTCTATAGGATAGCGATGATTTAATTTATTAGTATTGAAGATGAACTGCGCTATTTTATAGATCTTTTATTCTATCTAATATGTCCAGAAACAAATATGGCATGGAAAGGGAAGAAGGTACAAAAAATTTCCGATCTATATTGTCAAGAGTATGACGATTTTATTGGACACTGTAAAAAATTTCACAAAACATGCCAAAAGTGTTTCATTGTACCAATAAACTTCCAGATGAAAACACAATTAAGCTATTTTTCAATTGGTTCATGTTCATCAAGTATGCTTAATTAAATTGCTATTTGAAAATGCAAAGTTTTTATTTTTGAACAAGTCCATTACATCACCGTTTGATAATTATAAAGAAGAAATTATCGGCATGCTCGTGGCTTTTTGTTTTATTCTCAATATACTCATCACAAACAATATCTACAACGTATGATTATTTTATTATTATAAAAGATCACATTGCACTCTACTCTCGACACATCCTCTCTATTCCTATTGAGCACATTCTCTTTTTTAATTTAATATGAGAAAACACGTTATACAGAGAAGAAGACTAGACTATGGATATTTTGTAAATCTAATCCAAATCAAAATATGTGATAGTGAAGATTTGAGTAAATATTTGAAAGAAAAAATTTCATCAATTTGTATTTGAGTATATATTATTTCCAATGGATGTACGTTCTTTTTTTTTACCGGTAAAACTAATATTTTTGCTTTTAACAATTTTTTTCTAATATTTATATTTCTAGAGCGATTTAAAATCTATTGCAATTCTTATGAAGATCTTATGAATTCCAATACGGCAGTTTGCGGTTAAAATAGTTCATCTATATGCATTTTTGTTCACATCATTTTTCTTTTACACACGGATTGTTTCAATGTGAGAATCGTGTATATAGCTATCACATGTGCTATTTTTTTTTATGTTTTCCTATTAGATTTTATTCATTGATCGTTTTTTATTTTAATATGGTGACTATTATAAAGCTACATGCATGTTACATTCAAGTCAGCTCTATATTAACTGTCAATCTCTACTAACTGTCCGCTTTTTTTTTTTATAATGGAAAACTTCGGTTATGGACTAATGGTACATTGCTTTATACATTATTAAATGTACGTGCAAAGTCAACAAATGCGGTTTTTTGCTGAACAATTGTAACAAGTTCAATAATATTTATAGGATTTTGTGTTACTGACGAGTTTGTGTTATAAAAATAGCAACAAAAAATGCTAAAAATCTAGATTTAGTAATTTATTATCTAAAAATGCTTATAACTAAAAATAACATGATGAAGAGCTTCACTAAACGAGCACGACATTTGACAGCCTACTTTTATTAAAGCTAAAATAACAATTTATGAAAATTGAAAATAATTAGTAAATTTGTCAATAGGTTGCCTGATATTTCATATGGTTCAAGATTTTTGTCAAAATAATCTCTAACTCAAGTTTTCCTTCTATGTTACTCATACTTTTCTCGCTATCTAAAATATGTTCTCAAAATTTTGCGGAAAATACGAGGTAAAATATCCTCAACTGATATAAAAAAAGTTATTTTAGATTATGAGTTCGAAATGTCACGATGATTTTAAATCAAATTAAACACTTTCTCTGGTCAAATGCAGACGTATAAATCTTTTTCTTACTAAAAAAAAACTATTGAAAATCTTCTCAGAGGCTTTCCAATAAACTAAATTTTGTAAAATTTCTATAATTACCACAGAGAAGATTTCTTGAAAACACTTGATACTACCAATTAAAAAAGATATTTTATTTAGATAAGACGCTTGAACAGGAATGATTGCAGTAAATCAAAGTAAATAGCGTCGAGAAAAACCCTCTATACCGATTGGCATAACCTCTCTCTCATTTTTGGAAAGAACACTTTTCTCCAAACTGCGTTTTCATGTAGTTAATAACAGAAGACTCAATTTCATTTTGTAGAGCTGTAAAATTTAAAAACCTCTCTAGTTTTACGACTTCTGAGAAGCCTCTGAAAAAAACAAACACCTCAGCACGTTTTAGATGAAGATTAATACTCTGTACTCTGAAAACAAATACAATGCATCCACTCAAATATGTTTTTATCTCAATTAACAACTTTTGCGAAGAAATCTGTTTAAAAATCTATTTCTTTTGAGTGTATTTCTCCACTTTTTGAAGGTGATTAGACATAGGATTAATAATCAATAATTATCTGATAGATTCTAGTAAAAAAAAAATGATTGTATGAATACTTTGTTAAACAGTCGTTTCTCAAGTTAATATATAAATTTTATATTATACTTTTAGAACGATTTTTCTGTGGCAGTTATGAAGAGTTCTCCTTTCCGGGTAAGAGGGAGTGACGAATGTTAACTTAAATCGAGTAATAGTGTGTTAAATCAGACTTTTTTGATTTCTAGGTGCAGCTTGTATCGGTTAATCATTAATCAAATCAATTGTTTGACTGTAACAAAAAAACAAAACAAATTCTTATTTTAATTAAAATATTTTTTATCTATTTATTTATTATGAAGTTTTCTTTCTTTTTATTTAAATAAAATTCTATACTTGTAAATAAACTAAACCATTGCAATATGTACTATTTCAAAAACGTGTTGATGAAACTTCCGAAAGACGTTTAAGAAATAGATTTTTATTAGTTTCTCCTTTTGTATCATCATCCATATAGAATCCAACATTTGTTTCATCAAACATTGTCGATATTGTTTGAAAACTAATTGTTTTCTTTGATAAATCACCATTAGATTGAGCCAAATTTGTTGACGAATATCGACTGGATAATTCACGATGTTCAGGTTTTAATGGACCCCATTTTTTATGAGGTTGACTTCTCTCTTTTATTATCTAAAAAGTATTAATTAATCCAATTATAAAATTAGATTTTTTTTATTTCATATTACTATAATTACTTACAGTCCATGTACCACGTCGACATATTTCAAGTATAAAAAAAAATGGTATGGGAAACAGACAAATAATTACGACAAGCCAACCAAGTGCATGAGCCCATTCCGGATATTTATATTCATCTAAAGTGACTTGTTGATAAAACAATGATGAAAATAGTATTGTCAACTAAAATAATAAATAATAACAACTAGTAGATTATCCTGTTTATTGAATCGTAATAAATATTAGACTTATGTAATTATGAAAATTATTCATACATCATTTTCAAGTTCATTTAATGCCTATTTACATCTTTAAGGATCAATAGAGGTGTTATCTTGATAATATGTATTGATAGAAAATATTCTCTAATAGCAGCAACGGAGTCTTGTATGATACAATAAACTTTCATTAACAGAAATCTTCTCATATTATAATAATTTATGTTAAAAAAATGTTTAGTTTCATTTTACTCACTAGAAGTATGATTGGTGATATCTACAAAAATAAATACATAAATTAGTATGACTAATGATTTTCTTCTTGAAAATGAATAATTTTACCCATTTCCAACAAATTTTCCAAAATTTTCCTGGCCGCCTTTCTTCACCTAACATAATAGCAATATCATCGCAAAAATTATCTACTCCTAAACAAAAATATCTCTATAGAGTTAAGAATAACACTATTTTTAATGAAGAAAACATACCATAGATCCACGCAATTATCAGCAATTCTACAACACCAATACATAACCATGGAAATCCGCCCAAATATTGATCAATGATATTTAGAAAGTATAATCCTCCCTGAAATATATATAGAATGATATTTTGAAGAGACATGATTTATAATCGGTTCATACTTTTGTCACCATACTTAAACCTAATAGACAAAATACGGTACATGTAACGAAACGAAATATGATCACTTTTCTTGGAGTATTGAGGTACGGTTTAAATTCATCAATAATACATGACATTACCGTTTCCATGATAGAAAACTAAAATTTTTAGTGTTTCATAATAATGTAATCATAAAATTTTACTAAATCTTACTTCGGAGCCGAAGCCGAGTGTACACATCATAAGGAAGAACAATATACACCATAAAGGAGCTACAGGCATCATAGACAAACCTTCTGGAAAAACAACAAATGCCAAACCAGGACCTAAATGAAATAAAAAATTTGTATAACTCATTTTTAAACGATTATAAAATATTTAATACCTCCTTTTGCAACATCTGCAACACTGACACCCATTTTAGTAGCCATATGACCTCAATTAGATAATACTATATAAGATTGAGATATTATACAAGATGACATTATACCTAATACAGTGAATATTGCAAAACCTCCAAACAGACTCGTAAACCAAGTCACCAAACAAATAGCTATTGTATCTCTAAATACGTAAGAATTAGTTCTGCTGAAAATAGTCGATTCTTCTCACCGATAAACATTGTTATTAAAATTATTAAAACTAGCCATTGCGATTAGACCACCTGAGCAACAACTAAGGGCATAAAATACCTGTGTACATGCATCCTTCCATACCTTGAGGTTTAAAATCATTTGTCAATGAGAAGTGAAGTAGCTTTATTACAAAACATACATTTGGATTTTTTAAAACGCTCAATTTCAATGTGCCCAAATAAAATTTGATGCCTTCATTTGCACCAGATAGAGTAGCTCCACGTATAATAAGCACTGTTAACATTACGTATGGAAATAATGCCGTGAAATAGGCAATCTAAATAATAGACGCAGAAGAAATATTCTATTCAAAAGAAGTTGTTATTTACTTTTCCAAGTGTTTGAACGCCTTTTGAGAGACTAATAAAACAAATAAACCATGCAGCTGCAAGTGCTATAGCTAAATGAGGGACAATTCCCTCCGTAAATTCGATACCACTGGATATTTGTAACACTCGTCGACTAAAATTGAGACAAATCGAAGAATCAAAACACTAAGTATAATTTAGAAATATTTACTAAAAATATTCTTCACTTGGAGAACTAGTCATATCTAGAATTTAAAAAAAAGGATATACAGTACGCATTTTAGAATATTTATCATCTAAGTTACCTTTTGATTTAGAAACGTTATATAATGTCATATTAGCCAATGCTTGTTGATCAGTACAAAGAGGCTAATTTAAAACAGATATTTTTCAATAAAATATTCTGATAGATGAAAATTTATTGTTACCGTATTCCACCAGTTTCCACATGTTGCCCACGGGACAAGGATTGTAAATGATGAGACAAGATAATAAAAGCAATAGGCTATGAGAACATTGTAATATAAACCCAACATCATGTTGGTGGTAATTGAAGCGAATCCAACTCCTATAAAATGATAGATAGTTTTCATTCATATTTTTGAACAGAAATATAGTCCACTCGCATGATCACCTTTCAATAATGGATTCACTCTCCAAACACTTATAGGTCCGGCACTAGTAAATTGTCCCAATGATAATTCAAGATAGAAAACGGGAGCACCAATAAATATCATCATAAATGTGTAGGGAATGAGAAAAGCACCTAAAACAACGTAGTTACTTGAACATATTCTATTTTCTGTTCAAGGCACACTTACTTCCACCATTTTTAAAACAAAGATATGGAAAACGCCAAACATTTCCCAAACCCACGGCTGAAAGTAAGGATTATAATAGATTCGCTAACGATTCTTTTGTTCTGATACTCACCAAAAGCAACTAGCGTTAAGAAAAATTCGACGGGATTTCCCCATTGTTTGCGCTGAAAATAAAGTAGTAAATTTTGAAAAAAGTAGTCACATTCAAAAATCTTTTTATGATCTTTGATCGAATATGAACATAAACAGAGATATGTAAATTATTGTTCGAATCGTACTTCACAAAATGTATTTACCTCTTCTGTTGGTGGAGGCGTCATATTTTAATTCAGGATCAAATGAAGTTATTAATTAACTACAGCTGTCAACTTGTCATACTATATAGGTTTTTATGTAAAACAAAGAAAAGTTGAACTGAAATTAAGACATGATGAAGATCGATCATATAGTCTGTTAAAACGTAAATACTGGTAACTAGAAAGGTCAAGGAAATAAATACCTTTAAGAGAGAAAATATTTTACTTGTTATTATCTTTTGATGATTGAAACTTTAACATTTTTTTTATTTCCAAATGTTAAGTACAACAAAAAATATGGAATAGTAAGAATTTCCTTCATCAAAGATTTATTTCGTAAATGGCAACAACGGATTGAAAAAAAAGACGCTGTCTTCTTACAGTTCGTAACTCTCAAAAGATAATACGAATGCCAACGACATCCATTCATGTGTCAAAGTGTTTCTGCTTTTTCAACGAAACGAACGCTCTTTGCGAAAGAAACGAAAGCTTTTTTTAAAAAGTGGTAAAGCCGAAATAATCTAGCTTTCTTTTATAAAAAAAAAAGAAGAAAAGAATACCTCAAAGCAGGTACTACTGTGGTTAATAATTTGAGATTAGCGCTCTCTTCAATCTACAAAGGTAAACGGATAATAAAATCGATACTATTTCAGTACCATGAGCAAAACTAATCAGAATAAAATTAATTTATGTCCACATACACACTGGAATATAATTGATATAATTAATCCTTTCGTCCTGTAATTTCAGTTTCATACAATCACAATAATTCTGGAAAAGTTAAGCCGAAACTCACCTATCAAATAGTTCCCAGGTGATTCAATCCAGTTTCAACAAAACAGATTTTGTGACGGTATTCTTGACGTTGACGATGAATCTGATCTTCACTTTCATCCCTAAGACTTTTAAGAATCAGTACTAGGAGATCTGATCTTTAGAAATCCGTTATGTACTGTTCATCGGGGCATATTTCGATACAATCAGATTATAGAGTACGTCGAGTTGCCTGTATATAAAATTTTTTCAGGTCTAATGAACAATATACGTATAAACTTTATCAGAGCAGAAAAAAGCCCAGGCATGAAGAAAAGCACAAGCTAGTTAGATAATTCATTATAGTGTTGACTTTATAATGGTGGGCTTCATCACTGTTTGGACCTTTAGTAATAAAAGATCTAAAGAAAAGGTTGTTAGGTGGTTTAGCGTTTGCTTCATAATTGAACGCTACTGATCAAACAGGCGGTACTTTATGAAGTAGCTGGCTAAATACTCCTTCAGGGCACCACAGTCGTACCCATCCAGTTCTCCGTTACTCAGTCTTCCTTTTATTCCTGAGTATCTCAGAAAAGGAATATTCAACCAGCACCTAGTATAGGCAACCTCCAAGTTGCTAGGAACATCGTGGCGCAAAATATATCTAATATAACAACCTTTGGCGTGGTGCAGTTTTAGACTTGTTTCGGTTGAAGACTCATAGCAGTAGCAGATTATTGCGCTCCCATTCAAGTGTCTCGTAGTGTGTGTGGCAACTTCGTTCGATCATAGCTCATGATTATTCGGTTTGATGTACAGAGAAGTGTGTGATCGCAAGTACTCGGGTCCAGATTATGCTTAAATTCTAAAAAATGTGCGAAAAGTAGACCCAGATGGACGTTTTCAATCACCTACACAATAGCGAAAGTATTCGAGAAGAGCGTAGTGACAACTAACTTAGTATATTTTAGTAAATAAAATAGATTGGCATTCTGGAACATTGAAGTCAAGTAGCCACCAGTTAGGAAGCGTAGCAAAATTGCGACTGAGTGATACAGCAGATGCTTCAACGCATTTTTCCTGCCCGAAAAGTGATGTGGCATCGGCGAACAGTCTGTATAAGTTTTCGGCTTTTTCGGGCTAATCATTAATGTAAATAACGAAAAATAATGGATCTGGAATTGTACCCTGAAAAATCTCGGAGTTAATCGTTTTTTATAAAGAGGTATATCCAGCCACTATAGTCACTATTCGTTTATCTGATGCATAGGACTTGAACCAGGCTAAATATTATCCGTAATCCCGTACTTCTCCCAAGTTTGTGAAAAAGACCACGGTGCCAAACTGTATCAGAAGTGTTTTTTATATCCAGAAAACCTCCATATACAAATTCTGAGGGATCCGTCTCTTGACTAATATAATGGACAATTTCATGTGACTGATTTACCGTCCCATACTCTTCTAAAAATCCTATTGATGTGCACTGAGTAGACTATTTTTAATGCAGTGTCCATACAGCCGGCTTTGGACCCGTAGGCATAACTACGAGGGGTGTAAGTGTCAGGTGGTCTTGTGCTAACAACTCACAAAATATTCTGAGTTCGACATCCCTACCAACAGCTACTACTTTAATAATTAATAAACACAATGACTTTGATAATAATAATAGTCTGTCCTGTTCTTCGTCTTCTAATGTATCGATATAACTAATGCTAACAATATCGATCAGTTGTAATGAACGGCTGGTGAACTGGACGCGAAGAAGATGAGGAAGAGAGAGCAAAAGTAAAAGTATATTGTAATTAAATGAAATACGAAATTATATTTCAATGTAGAAATATTTTGATTCGAAATGAAATATGTTAGAGTTGAGCTCCTTCTTCTCCGAATGTGAGAGACGAAGTAGAAGAAGATAGACGAAATATATGAAACTCCTCTTCCTCTAAATAGTAGAGCAGAAGAAGGAGATTTTTTCTGTTTTCTCAAGAAGAAGAAGAAGAAGAGAAAGAACTGATTTGAAAAGCGAAAGTTGTGATGAAGATAATGTGTCTCGTTTTTCGTATTCCTAAGAAACAATCAATAATTTATTATAATGACGATTTGGCTCGGAATTGGTAAAAGGAATAGCGAAACCGCAGAATCTTCCAGATTAGAAGAAACAAAAGCTAATGGGCAAGCGGGTCGTTACAGGCCATGGCCCAATGCGATTTGAACATTAATCCAATAAAAATTTTTTTTTGAGTGTTAGGTCCAAAGCTTTTCTCTCACCAACCAATTTTGAACAAAGTGTGCGACACAAAAATGAAATACAAATCCAAAGTAAAGCGGCATGCGCTTATTCTTCAGTTCTTTGCATGTTTGGTGGTCAGACTATTACAGTTCAGGCTTCCCTCTGCATCCACTATCGTACAGAATATGCGGTATTGAGAACAGCCCATAGCCACAGTAACGATCAGCACGGAAAATGACGGCATCAGAACTGGCAACAGTCGGAAAGATTTCCTGCGTTCGACCCCCCCCCCCCTAGGCCCATCGAGCCTTTTTGACTCCATGGAGTACGACCCAACAGCCTAAAAATCCTGGCTACTCCATTATTTGAACCAAAATACCTCTAAACGATGGAGTAATAAAGATATTAGTCTGTAATTCTGAGAGAGTTGGTTATCTACTCCTCTTAAAGACTGTGGACACATGTCTAACTTCCAGTGAGATGAGTAAATTCTGGCGTCAAGAGAATCATTGATCAGTTTTGTCACGAATAAAGTGATTACCAATGCTAGTTCCTTCAGAACTCTGTTACTTAACCCAGGAGGGCCTTACTGACGTAAAGCTTTGACAAAAGTTTGAATACATCCCGTTTGTTGACAATAACTTTGTCTTACTAAATGGTTATTCTGTCTTGAAAAAGAGACAGTGGTTGCATAGAAAAATTTGGATCCATACTGCAGATTGCTGTAAAATAATCGTTCAAACTATCTGCTTTTTTCTGGAAATCGACTACCAAATCTTCGGAGTTATCATTTAGTGAGGATACAGAGCTTGAGTTTGGTTTACTCAGAGACTAATTGACAAGCGCTCACCACTTCTTTGATGAATTATTCACATATTCTGATATATTACAATAAAATTTGTTTTTCAAACGGTTTCAAACACCTCCCTGTTATTCCCCACCCTGAAAAAACAAAACGATACCTGAAGATCTGAACATTTATGTATCTGTACATTTATATATCTGAAGAACTGAAGTTCTCAACATCTGAATATCTAAATATCTAAAAATTTGAATATCAGAATATATGAACATCTAGATATTATGTGTTATGCAATTGCCGATGTTCACAAACCAGACCGATCTCAAGAACGTGTACCAAACATCATCAAAAAAGCTCTAGTAAAGTTAAATATTTCTAAAGACCAGATCTGCCAACACCGATTCTCAAAAGTCTTAGGGATGAAAATGAAGATCAGATTCATCATTAACATCAAGAATAACCTCTCAAAATCTGTGCTTTATTGGAACTAGGGGAAAATTCCCTCATAAGTTGCTCAAAGTTTTTTTACAGAAAAGCTTCTTTCATTGCTTCTCTTGATCTCCAGTGGTGTTTATGGGTTCAAAAAACTGTAGCATTGATAATTAAAGAAAAAAGATAATCTTATATTAGCAAAAGTTTGCTGATAAGGAATCCGCTTCCATTCTGAAACGAATTATCGAAGTGAAAATTAGAATTTGCCTTTTACTAGTAGTTTGACCTTATTATCGGAGTGACCACCCGAATAAAACCTCTTGCAATGAAGATCTTGGCTATACATTTCTTTTCTATATATTTTTTTGGTGTATGACAACCATAGCCATCGGATATATGCTCATATATGATTAAAGACTCATCCTCACATAATTATGTCCAAAAGAAAAGAAAGTCGAAGTTATTGCAAGTCTAAATACATTCGTGACTAATATACAAACAAGAAAACTGTGACTGATGAATCATCAGTATTTTTATCAATTACTACAACAGTTGAACAAAATTCTGGATTATCGATCAAACTTTTCTACGGTAATTTTCAATCGAGTTTTCTCCTGCAACAGAACGCATTCTTTTACCTTCAAAATAATAAGTTCTTTCTTTCTTTCAAAGAGATCTCAGATAGCGTTTTTTTTCATCTTCTTATAATGTTTAATGCTTCCGTTACGCATTTTGGGTGATGTCCGATTCGTGACAGAAGTCTCATCATTCGGATAACTGCACTTATACGAGCGAAACTGTAGTTTAAACGTGACGTTTAAGATATGTAAAAAAGAAACAAATAGCGTTTTTGTGATTATGTTTTTCAAAATTTCAGCTGCTTAACGCTGGTGACAAAATACAATGAATAGCTAATATTTGTGATGCTCTATGTTTTTATATCTCAACAAAACAGAAGATGTCGAATCAAGTACAAATTCAAATGTCGGCTAATGAACTGTTATCGTCATCTGAATTGAATTAGATTAATCTAAGACTAGAATTTGTCTTCAATAGAAAAGAATACAATAAATTAGAAAAACTGTTTCAACAAAATAATGAAACTAAAAAGAATAAATTCGCAGCCATTAAATGAATGAAATCATTAAGAACGTCGCACGATCGTCTAAAGATCTTGAGCAAAATTCTGGCCCAACAGCGCAAGAAATTTCAAGATTTGAAACGTTTTTGGACGAAATAAAATTCACATTCAACGTTTTAATAGGTAATTTTCTTTCCTCTGCTTTTTATTAATTTAATATTTATCAAGAACTTCAGGAGCTAGACATCTTTAGTTTCACTGATTATCGAATACCGATTTTCACTCATATTCTATTTGTAACGGGTTACATTTACGAGAATGATATTTACCACTGGAAAGTTTTCAGTTTTAGCAGAGTAACTAAATACAATCATGTCAATGTTCTACTATAAGAGCTACTATACTATGTTGTCTTTCAAGGTAGTTAAATGTTTTAAAGGTGCTTTCACCTTGATAAATGAATTGAAAACATTCATTTGAATTATTTCTCATCATTTTTATCAATTTATACATATTTTCATCCTTTTGAAAATACAAGCAGTGACATATTTAGCGGGGGCCGGCGCACCCACTACTTAGCACAATCATCATCATCATCAATTGCAAATGTCTATGATAAGAAAGAACAGGAATGACGTAAATGTATTTAATTCAACTGTTATATAATAGTCACATCAATATAACAATTCGTTCCTTCCCACACGTTGTCTATGCAAAATACTAGCCTAATACGTAGATTAAAATATTTATTTAGATAGGAGTATATTGAATACAAAAGCTTCATGATTTTTCCTCAGAGTTCAACTAGCACAGTGATGTGAGTAATGTCATAGATGAAGAGCCGTTTTAAAAGTTTATTCATTTAATCGGAAATTTTTTGCATACGTTGTAGTTATGATACGGATAGACGTCTGTTTCAGTTAGAAAAAAATGTTTTAAAGTTTGTTTTCGCCTTATAATACCTTCTCAACTTTATAGAAACAGTTAGCTCGGAATGGCT